CCTGGTACCTAGTGAACCCCAAAATAGCTGGTAAATGGATGTTCATCCCACTAAAAATGTATCTATAGGTATTGACCCATACCCATATATTAATATAGTGAAATAACAGTTTGCGGAACATACATGATGGTGGTCTTTGGCTGTTGGGGTGAAGAGGTTGGCAGAATTTCAGTGAGCATCGGCATGCAGGAGCTGAGGAGGATGTCAAGGCAATGCTCAAAAAGTTGTCTGAGCAAGTGCTGGAGCTGCTTGGCAGCACCGTGCAGCACCTTCCACCTGGGTTGAAGAAACTGATAAATCCTGATCTAATCCTGATGTCCACGCTGTGAGTCAGGGCTCCCACTGTAAGTTGATCTGGAACAGCTCACGAGGACTTCTTCTCGGCTGGAAGAGATTGAGAAGATTGAGAAGCATGAAAGACGCTTGCCAATGCCGAATGAACCAGTGGGCCATAGTGGGCCAATGATCGGCCAATGTTGCCGGTGAATTTGACAATTGGAACAGCATCGCTACACTCGTGGCCAAGGAGAACTGTCTGAGCTGGCAGACAAGGCGGATAAGGCGGATAAGGCAGAGGCTCCAGGGAGCAACGCGACTGAGGCTCCTTGAACCCCCTGCAACCTGAACTGTGCCATGGTGGTTAATTAATGTTAATTACTCGGGGTGTGTTCCACTTGTCCCAGAGCTGTCCTTTCGAATCTCTTCGTTTCAGTTTTCGGCAGCCTTGGAGCATCTTGGCGCAGGACCTTGCTGCAAAGGTAGAGACGAAGAAAGAAGGCGCTGCACCGAGTTCTGTCAAGGTCCCTGGATACATGAGCCTTGGGCGGCAGATTTGAATGAATTGAACGGATTGAGTGGATGATGTGGATGTTGATCACGCATTTTCCTCCGACTTCTTTGGAGATGGATGCCCTTGACATCTTTGACAAAGCCACAAGGAATGCCAACGAAGCGACCCCGTACTGGACGCAAGAGTCTGAAGCCAGCCATGCGCTAGAGAGCCTCAGTCACGACGGCTGAAGCCTGGGTTTTGGGAGACATGTATGTGCATCTACATTGTATTTTTTGATTTGCCAGCGGAAATAACTTGGCGCACACACATAAGAAAGAGTGAAACATATTCTTTTGACTCGATTCTGCAAGAAGATGGTTGTGTCCCCGTGTTGGACTGTAATATGTTTACGATTATTTTGGCTTGAGTGGTGGCTGCTCTGCAGCCCATTTCCACGCAGTCTGTGAACGAATCATCCACCTGCCCAGGAAACCTGTTCACCCTCACAACCTACAGGACATTTTCCACGGTTGCCTTTCCCAACTTTCCCTCAGTTAGACTCAGCGATTCAGCTGCTTCCTCTCAGCAGGACGCTGTGATGACAGCAGAAGATGTGGCTGCTCTCAGTCCAGAGCAGGCCAGTGAAAACGAGACTCTTCGACTGAAAAGCAGGTGACACTGGATTAATCATGGTAAAACAAATGAAATATATGACATCTGTATTACAACCTTTGTCAGCTTGTCAAATGGAACCTATTCATCTAAAGCCACTGACGCGACCATCATTAACATCACCTATCTTGGCAGCTGGACCCATTTTTTCCACGTCAGGTGGCTTCGATTCTGACCCGAGACAGGGAACTCTTGGCGGAGGTCACAGCGAATCGTGGCTCAATGCCTGGAGGAAGTGGTGCTATGTGAAACATCTCGTGGATGACCTGCAAAAAGTTAAATACCTACGGATATTTGGTAAAAATCCAAGGGCAATCTCGAATATAATATATAATAATATATACATATATAATTTATACATATATAATATATACATATATAATATCTAATTATATGATTATATATATATAATATCTAATTATATATATATACATATATATATATATATATATATATACATATATATATATATACATACACGCACATAGAACATAACATAAATACACCAATATACACCAGCATTTTTCAGAGCACCATCCACTCCCAGCACTTGAGGAAACTGTCCAGCGCCAATCTGACGGATTTGGTCTTCGACACGGATGCCTCGAAGCTCCCCCGAGATGCTCCCACAGAGAAGGCCCGGACTGCGGATGCGTGCGGCTTCACATGTTGACACATGATATCAGTGGATTCATGTGGATTCTCTAGGCATTATGCATCATTGTGCATCATTAATCTTTGTATCTTTCTGTAAGTTCCATATCTTAGTCAGTGTTAGTTCGATTTAAGCATATTTAACATGGATGTGGCACGATGCATCAATGACCAGATTTCGTGAACAAAATATGTCCTTGGTCCGCGCCAGGCTTTGGATGCCATCATGGAGAATCCCACGATCGCCAGAAAGGCTTTGAACCTCACCCTCTCTGTCCTGGGTCGAGGTGCCATGGCTGCCATGTGGAAAGCTCGAAACCCTGTGGACTGGAGTCGTCCCAGGTGTGAGGAAACTCTCCTCCGGAAAAGCCTTGTCAGACGAGCTCTTTGGTTCCGACACAAGCCATTTGATGCTCAGCCTTCAGATATGCTGGGTTCGCCCAAAGATTGAAGAAAAACGAAGCCATGTGAAATCAGGTCTGAAAATGGTCATCGAGTACCCGATACATTGCATTTTCATAGGGAAAATGATGTTGTTTAGAAAATGCAGGCAAAGTATCGGAAAAGATACAGGCAAAGTTTGGAACATGCAAGCAAATTTGACATTTACCATCTGGTTATTTAACATAGCCATGGAAAATCACCATTGTTAATAGGCAAACCATCTATAAATGGGCCATCTATACCATGGCTATGTTAGTAATAACCAGAGGGTATCACCACTTAAATGGCAAAGCTAGGTGCCATGAAAAGATTGTACTGAGGATTGCCGAGGAGGTAAAGGCAGTATCTGCCAGCAAGTCTTCACAGTCTTCCGACGAGGCACTCTGATCTCTGCAAATCTCTTGTTGGATTTGGTTTTAATTGATGCATTTGCATCTATTGCAAATATATCAATATATTATTGTTAGTATTTGTTGATGGAATCTGTTGATATTTGTTAGTCCCATTCCTCGAACAGGGGAGAATATTTTTTTCAGTTTCTCCATGGACTTTGGGGTTCCTCTTGAGTTCCTCGCCCCATCTGCGCCATGGTCAAAAGTTGGACATACCAACTTTGGGATTGATGGCCACATCAATCCATAGGGTTTAATATACCCATGATATCCCATGAGTTTGGGATTCCTGTGGGACGGATGACCATATCCCATGCGATCCAGGTTTTGGCCGCTGTATCAATCTGATATACATGGCTTTGATATTGTGCATGTGGAGATATAAACCTATAAGCCATAATATATAATAATATAATATAATATAATATAATATAATATAATATATTGGGGTCAATGAGAAAATCTACATTCATAAACTATATCTCTATATGTATATCTATATTTCTTTTCTTTGTATATATATATATATACCATCTGGTTATTTAACATAGCCATGGACAATCCCTTATAAATGGAGGTTTTAATGGGAAAATCATCTATAAATGGGCCATTTTCCATGGCTATGTTAAATAACCAGAGGGTATATATGCTATAATGTACTTTTACATATGAATACATGTATCTTATGTTTTTTCTTGTGACTGGGACCACTCCGTGACGTGCCCGAGGCCAGGGCGACAGGTCCGACAGGCATCAAGGGAGTCGTTGCTCCTGCCAAGGCTGAGGTCGGAGCACCCAGGGGGAGTTCCTCTCCCAAAGTCTAGGGGTAAACGTTATTCATAAACACCCCATTCAGAACGAACATTGATGACTTGAGAGGATTTACATGGATTTAACAGATTACTGATTAATGTCTAGATCTGTTCGGAAAATAGCAGCAACATCATGTCGGGATGGGGCAAGATGCGCCTATCCTTTGATAAAGATAGGATTGGGACTATTGAATTCTGTTCACGGCCTATTTTGCGGCTCAGTTTTGACACACAGAACTTTCACTGTAGGCGCAAGCCACCCGCAACAGTAGACAAGGGATAATTAATCTATATACATTATATACAAGATTCCCTTGGAATGCGAGTTTCACCATCTCCCAGACAGGGGATAGTGAGGGGACACTCCATCCCGCTCCAAGCCTTAGCAGGTTGGGTTGGCCGTATGACGTTCCACCAAGGACGGTGGGAAAGCAACCACGTCAGAGGCTCCGACGAAGGCTGGCACTTGGAATCAGTGGAGCCAAACCCACCGAGTTTTGAGTAGTTCCCGCAATTTTCTGCAACTTTCCTTAGTTGATGGTTAAGCAATATGGTTGATGATTTATAGTTTCATCATCATCATCATATATATATAATTATATATATATACAATAAACCCATATATATATGATATATATGGATCATCCCCATTTTTGATGGTCATTTCTTTGTGCAAAACCATGCAACACCATGCAACACGAGTGGACGCCAGGTGTTGGGTATGGAACTGCCCAGCATCGGTTTGCCCAGCCTCAGCATGCCGAGCATTCTCAACCCAATGACCTGGTTTCGCTGAAGGTGGGAATGGAAGATCCCTGGAAGATCCCTTAGAAATGGAGATCTTAATGGGAAAATCAATGGGAAAATCAATCGGAAAACATGGGAAAATATTTTGGATCTCCCTTAACACAAGAATATGGGATCTTAATGCGATCCTTTAGAAAATATGGGCAAATCATCTATAAATCCCGGATTTTTGTGTTTGATTGCCGGAGGGTAGTCGCTTTCACAGCAGGTGGAGGCGAAGTGATCGAAGGTGAGCGAAGTTGACACATTCGCAATGCCTCAAAAAGCCCGGTGCGTGCGGTGCATGGCGATATGCAAAGATCATAGTCATCCAGGGGAAAATGGGTGAAGGAGATTCCAGCATCCCAAGAAACAGAACCTATCAATCCATCATCAATGGTTATCTATACAAAATCATCCTAACAAAACAGATCCCCATGAAGCTCTTCTGAAAGTCGGGCTTTCTGAGGACTCCTTCGTGAGTTTCTCCAAGCGCTTGGGAAACAACCAGGATGTTAGGAGGCCGATTGCTCACATTGCGGGAAGCTGAGATGGCCGGTCTGGTGGAGTCACTGTAGTCACTTAGTCGAGTGAAGGTGACCATGGTGACCATGGTGACCCCCATGATTTCTTGGAAATTTCCATGGATTTTCCTTGGAGACGACAAACATCTGGATGTGGCTCTTCATTCTTGGGGTACCATGAACGATTGAATTCAGGTAGGAGACTTGCCGCCGCCAGCTGATGGTCCAAACCTACTGTCTTTGCGCGAGGCGGTTAGATGCTTTGACCCATGAAGATCCAGTGTTTCATTGATCCCTTCCACCAAATTTTGAATCCCTGCGCTTGAAACATCTTTAGACCTGGTGGAACATGTATTGGATCATATTGGATCATATTGGATCTATTCATGTTGCTCCCCTTGGGGTTTCGGAGGGGATCGCCTCTTGGCAGGTTCGGTCGCTGTTCAATGCAGCAGGTGGTGCTCTACAGCACCTGCTGAATCAACAGGATTTCGGGTCATTTGATTGTTTACAAAGTATGCTAGGCTGATGATAATGATGATGATGATGATGATGATGATGATGAAGATGATGATCAATACACACATTTACACACTGTATACATACAGAATATCATATATATATATACATATGCATTCATTATATGATCTGCATATACACATACATGTTTAAACGAGAGAGAGAGAGAGAGATGCACATATGTGCATATATATATATATATATCCGGAGAACGTCTTTGGTCGCCCCAATGCAGTTGAACACGAACATTATTAGGGGGCTTGTGAAACGTGCACAACTTCTGTGACACGTGCGCAACTTCTGTGAAACATGCACAACTGCTGGGAAACGTGCACAACATCTCTGGCACGTGCACAACATCTCTGAAACGTGCACAACATCTCTGAAACATGCACATATAGAATACTTGAAAACACTGGGTGGGGGCGGTGAAACACATTATGCCCATATATGTATATACATATGTATATAGGCATGGTATGTATACATGTAATGCATTTTATTTGATAATATATATATATTGTTCAGCAGCCTGTGGGACAGGCCGTCATGCATGAGACTGAAAATGGAGGTATTGACGCTGCCCAATGTGGCAGTGTGAAGTAGACCTACACGCGCCCCTCCCACAATTTTCCATTCTCATTTGATGCCAATGTAAGGCCTATGCTGATGAGAAACCTTGTTTGTTTTTTCAACTATCTATCTTTTGCATTTCCTCGTGTTGTGGAGTATTTTTGATCTTTTTGGCTAGATATCCATGTTTTTTCCCCACCTGCCAGGTGAGGGTTGTTAGATTTTATGTCAGTTGCCTGGTCCTCCTCCTCCTCCTCCTCCTCCTCTCCTCTCCTCCTCCTCTCGTTGTCCTCCTCCTCTCGTTGTCCTCCTCGTCCTCCTGCTCAACTGCGACTCGCGATCCACAGTGTTCTCTGTCGGACCTCAACCACGACCATCCACGCCCAGTGTTCCCTGCCGGACCTCAACCACGACCATCCACGCCCAGTGTTCCCTGCCGGACCTCAACCACGACCATCCACGCCCAGTGTTCCCTGCCGGACCTCAACCACGACCATCCACGCCCAGTGTTCCCTGCCGGACCTGAACCGCGAGTATCCACGCCAAGTGTTCCCTGCCGGACCTCATGTAGGAAGATAAAATGTCAGATAGAGTGCCAGAAGATTTGCCAGGTAGAATGCCAGAAAATATGCCAGAAGATATGCCAGATAGATATGCCAGAAGATATGCCAGATAGATATGCCAGAAGATATTCCAGAAGATATGCCAGAAGATAGAATGCCAGATAGAATGCCAGAAGATATGTCAGAATATATGCCAGAAGATATGCCAGATAGAATGCCAGATAGAATGCCAGAAGAAATGTCAGATAGAATGCCAGAAGATATGCCAGATAGAATGCCAGAAGATTTGCCAGATAGAATGCCAGAAGATATGCCAGAAGATATGCCAGATAGAATGCCAAATAGAATGTCAGAAGGTATGTCAGATAGAATGCCAGAAGATATGCCAGATAGAATGCCAAATAGAATGTCAGAAGATATGTCAGATAGAATGCCAGAAGATGTGCCAGTAAGAACATGTATAAATGTCATGGTGGGAATCACACGAAGTAAAGTATTTTTTTTTTGTCTTTTTCATGTTTGTCATTCGGAGCAGAGTGTTTAGGTTTTCAAATCCATTCCATGCCCTGGCATCGGTGAATCACTTCGACTGGCAGTACATTTTCGCATTGCAGGAGGAAGGTCTTGCAAGCCCGGAGAATATGGAGATGGATGCCGCGCTTCTCCCCAATTTTATGGAGTCAGAAACTTATCGGTTCCTGTGTTTGATTCTTTTTTTTTGGATCCCCCCAAAGAAACAAATTGGAGTACGTAATTGGAGGACCGAAACTATGCTGGGCCGGCCAAATGGGGCCCACGCGACTTTTGGAGAAGCATAATGGCGTCATGCCGCTACAACCAATGGATTCTGGCAGAATGTGGCGTAGGAACTGAACATGGGTCCCTGGTCCAAACTTTTATCAGTCCGTCCATTTGTACATTTGAATATTATATATATGACAATTATACATATATGACAATTATGTATATGTATATGTATACGTATATGTATATGTATATGTGTATGTGTATGTGTATGTGTATTTGTATGTATGTAATGTAATGCAATGCAATGCAATGCAATGCAATGCAATGTAATGTAATGTAATGTAATGTAATGTATGTTATGTAATGTTATGTAATGTTATGTTATGTTTTGTCTTGTAATGTAATGTAATGTGATGTGATGTAATGTAATGTTTTGGTATGTATGCAAGCGTGCGTGCGTGCGCGCATGCATGTATATATGTATGTATGCATGTATATATGTATGTATGGTAATGTCATGTAATGTTATGCTATGTAATGTTATGTAATGTTATGTTATGTAATGTAATGTAATGTTTTGTAATGTTATGTAAGACTATGCAATGTTATGTAATGTTATGTAATTTTATTTAGTGTTATGTATGTATGTATGTATGCATGTATTTATGTATGTACGTATGTATGTAAGTAAGTAAGTAAGCAAGCAAGTAAGTAAGTAATATATGTATGTTATGTTATGTTATGTTATGGTATGGTATGGTATGTAATGTAATGTTATGTTATGTAATGTAATGTTATGTTATGTTATGTATGTTATGTTATGTATGTATGTAATGTAATGTAATTTAATGTAATGTAATGTAATGTAATGTAATGTATGTATGTATGTATGTCTGTGAATGTATGTGTGTATGTGTGTATGTGTGTATGTGTGTATGTGTGTATGTGTGTATGTGTGTATGTGTGTGTATGTGTGTATGTGTGTATGTGTGTGTATGTGTGCGTATGTGTGTGTATGTGTGTGTATGTGTGTATGTGTGTGTATGTGTGTGTATGTGTGTGTATGTGTGTGTGTGTGTATGTGTGTGTATGTGTGTGTATGTGTGTGTATGTGTGTGTATGTGTGTGTATGTGTGTGTGTATGTGTGTGTATGTGTGTATGTGTGTGTATGTGTATATATATATATACACGACATATTTCTATGTATATACATGTACATACGTGTATATAATATGTATAATCGGCATTGAATCCATGCATCATATCCCCGAGGCAATGGGCGATGGATCCTTCAACTCTACAGTCCTTCGGAGGACATTGGGAGCACCTCGGCCTTCGTTGATAGACCCTGAAAGACTTGCAGGTTGCGGAAGAATTGGGTGCCGTCAAATTACATGGTAGACCATTGATATACTCAAATCTTAAGTATGGACTTAAGCCTCAGAATCAAGAAACACTGGTTGGTTGACGGGAAACGTTCCCTTTTTGTCCCTACTTTGCCCAGTTTGGCGAGCATCACTAGTGGGCTCAACCAGCAATCAACCAATCTTTCCGCAGAGTTATGGGTCAAAATTCGAGACTTGGGGTCTCGCAGGTTGTGATTTTTGACATCTAATTGATATCCAATGGCTGGGAATTCCTATAATTTACAGATGTTTTTCCCATTGATTTTCCCATTGATTTTCCCATTGATTTTCCCATTGATTTTCCCATTAAGACCTCCATCATGGGATCTCCCAGCCTGTCATGAGGACTGGTGAGGTCATTCCTGACCACCTCTTGCAGGCGATGAAAGCCCAGGTGAGGGGATGGCCAACACAACAGGGTTGTGGTTGATTTGTAACGGATTTGTAACGTGTATCATGTGATAATCATATGATTATCATATGATAATCATATTGTATCATTCAGATTTGTTGTAGATTTGGCATACACAAAATCATTTTGGCACTATAACATCAACATTTGCGGTGGTTATATGCACATGTTTCTTGTTTCCATGGATGCGTTGTTGCCAGGCCAAGCATGGAGCATTGGATCTCTTCCAGAAAGTTTCCTGGGTGCCAAACTGAGCGATGGGAGATCCAGCGGTTCTTTTCGGGTGTGAAGAGACTTGCGATTTCGGTAAATGGGCAATGCATTTTTTTTACCAAGAAGTTTCCTTTAGATTTGTTTTATAGCATTTTACAAATTTTACACCGAAACAACATCCAAAAAAAACCCTGGAGATTGCCATGTTGTCCACCTGCGATAATTTTGGGAAGATCCGGGAGAGAAATGCTCTGAGGCTCAACTTGATTTGGAACTTCACTCACAGGACCAGAGTGCGGTTTGTCCAATTTTTCGGGAAACTTTTTGGGGTAAAAATCCAGCCATGATTTTTGGGGTTATTTTCAGAGAAGGCTACTATAATTTGGTTCTGATAAGCTGAACATATTTGGAATCCCATCAAAAAATCTTCAATCCATCAGTTATCAGTTAATGATTGGGATCTCAATTGGATCTCATATTTTTGAGTTTCTCCATTGGATTGTTTAGATTAGATATTGGTTAGATAATTTCAATTCTTGGATTAGTTTGACTAGATATTGGTGGATTGATTAGATAAGATGAGAATCCCAACATGAGAATCCCAACATCATTGGAATCCCAATGGGATCCATTTTACAATCGGTGGATGGTCCCAGGATCTCAGTGAGGATGGGATCGATGGGATCTTGGAAGTGGCTCGCGCCCAACTGGCCAGTGAGGACCGGATTTGCCCGGATTGCGATCTCGCTTTTTGGGATGTTGGATCCCATGATTTTAGATGATTTGAGGAGAATTTTTGTTTCGAAACATGCCTTTGGTGCCAGGAGATTGCCTCAGTGCTGCCAGATTTCAACGATGCTGTGGAAGAAGGCACACTGCAGAGAGTTTTGGTGTGTGGCCATCAGCTTGCAGAGAATCCATGGAAACACACAGCTTCAAAGTTCAATAAGTTCTGCTATGTTCTGCTGAAGCCTGCACCATCCAGGCCTGTGCAATTTCCATGGGCCTTTCTCCACTGGCTTTGCTGCTGGTGAGTATGTGAGGATATGGAAGGAGGCCACAGGTTTGCTGCAGAAATCTCCAACGATTAGGATATTCTTGGCTCTTGGGGAGGGTTGATAGTTAGCCCCAATCAGATCCAATCAGCATGTCTTTCTGAGTAGTCTGCAGACCAGTGGTCTTTCCGCGACAGGTTTTGGTGGCTGATCTGTTTGAGGCCTTCCAGAACCAGGAACATATGGAATATGACACTGTCACGGGAGTCGCTGGAATCAAGTGAAAGACATGGAAGACGTGTGGTGTTCACATCTCCTGTGATTTCTCCTTACATTTTCAACAGCTGAGTTTAGTGATTTTTTCTGTGGATTTTCAGGGCAGATCTGTGCCATTTTCACACCGGCCTGGACCTAGTGGATGCAGGATGGCGATGTCTCCACGGGGAAGCGGATGCGGGACACCGAACGTGGGTTGACATGTGGGAATGGCCGAAGGGCTGAAGGGACTCATTTTGCTCTATTTTGCTCCTCGGGTCTGTGGACAAATCCAGCCAAAATTGATGGATGATTTTCATTGATTTTCCGTCGGAATCCGCCATCTCACTGTTGTTTGTCCCACTGTTTTTACAGGAGCTTTTCTTAGCACCTGGCGCTGATGTGTCGCCAACGGCTTTGGTTCGTGAGCTTCGTGGTCGTGGTCCCAAGGTGTCAAGTGTCGGGTGGAAGTTCAAGGCATCCTGAAATCCGCCATGACAAGTCAGGGTCGATTTTGGAATTCTTGATAGATACCACAGATACCACTGGTTACCACAGTCATCCATGTCATCCCAATTTGGAGGGTGAGGGTTTTGCGCATCCAATCAGTGCTGCCGCTGTAGCCTCTTTGTGCACAGGTGGGGCCCTTTCTGAAGCAGCTTGGGCTGAGCCGGTTAAAAGTCTTGCGCCTTGCCTCAGTGACCCACATGAAGATGTCCTGTCCGCAGATGTCGGCAGATGTCAACAGCCTTGGATGAACCCTTGGCATCTCAGCCGTTTGGCTCAAGTCCAACAGTCCCACACCACATGGCAGCCTATTCAAGCAGCCCGACCAGCACCAGCCCGACCAGCACCAGCCCGACCAGCCCGCAGAGCGAGGCTTGGCAAAGAACGCTGTGACTTGGTGAAGTGTTGCAGCCAGGCAATTTTGGCTGTCAGGCTGTCAGGTCTCAGTATTACATCACATCCAAACATCAATAGATAATAGAATATATATATACACACTATACATATGATCTATGCATTCAACTATATGCACTCTTATCAACAATATATATATATATATATAATATCTTATCAGCTCCTTTCTCCAACTGCCCTGAACCGTCATTGCATTCTGGTTGCAGGCTCGAGCTCGAGGCCGGCTTCTCCAGCTTGCCAAAGTTGCTGAGGAGAAGAGGTCGCAGCAGACCTTTGCGGTGCTATGTGTGGATGAAGGAACTTGGCCACAGGATGTGATGAAAGTGGACGCAGGTTGTGCCTTAAAATTGATGTCCAGGTGTAAAGGAGTCACTCGAGCGTGCTTGATGGCTGACTTGGATGCAGAGGCCTTGCGATCCATCCGCGAATGTTTTGAGAGGCTGCTGGCCGTTTCAGAGTCGATCATTGGGGTCACCGCAGATTTGGGCAATCTGTGGCTGAAGCATCACTCAGCCATCCGGGAAGTGATCTCAGAGCGGCCCGTCTACTTGACGCCCATCGTCCAGTTGCCCATGATCTCGGCTTCATTCAAAAGTCGGGAGCAGACCCTGTTGGTGACATGGGGTTCCCAAAAGGAGGTGGAGATGTTGAAACCCACCTTTTGCTCGGGCTGCAACATTGTGATGGATCTGGATCGTCTTGAAATCCTGGGTGTGGATGTTTCCCAGGATGCCCGCTGGGCACGATATTTGAACTTCGACACAAACACAGATGAAGACATGGCTCTGGGTTCAGGGTTGCTTCAGATGGTCAAAGACCGCATCTCGGAAGTCAACGTGCAGGGCAAGAAGGACATGTTGATCAAGAGCCTTATTGTGACGACCCGGTTGAGCATGTTCAGCAACCTCCTGCGTGAAGGGACAGGTCTCCCTGTGTTCAATGAGCTCACGATGTTGAACTTGTTTTCATCTGCGTCATCTTTGAGCCACTTCAACGATGCCAAAGTTCTGTGTCGCTTGAGTGACAAACTTGCGCGATCTCCAGCAAAGAGCCCCGGGGTGTCACCAGGAGGCTGCAAGTTGGGACTCTTGCAACTGGAATACGAATATCCCCCAGCATTTGGAGATGTGGATCACCCAGGCACCTTTGGCTTCAAAACTTGCCCGCGCATTGTGAAGGGCTTGACTTTCGAGAAGGCTCAAGAAGGATCCTTTGACCAAAACATTCTGGAAGAGATGAGTTGTGAGATCAAGAAGTTGGAAGAGGAGGGTGTGGTTGGCATTACCGGTAACTGTGGCTTCATGATGTATTATCAATGTTTTGCTCGTCACATCGCCAAAGTTCCAGTTTTCATGAGTGCCTTGATCCAGGCAGCAACTATGGCAGCAGCCATGGAACCAGCAGAGAGGGTGTTGATCCTCACGGCGAATGCAGCCACGTTACAACCGGGAAAGGACAAGCTGCTGTTAGAAAGCGGCATTCAGGTGACCAACTCCGAGAAATTTCTCATTCGAGGCTGTGAGCAGCTAGCAGGCTTTGATGCTGTTGCCAATGCAGAGAGGGTCGATACGATCCGAGTGCAAAATGCCATCAGCAACTATGTCTTGGAAATTCTGAAGGAAGAGAATTCACGTCAGGACTATGGTGCGATCAAGATGGTGTTGTTGGAGTGTACAGAGCTTCCACACTATGCAGATGAACTGAGAAAGATCACATCTTTACCAGTCTTTGATGCCGTGACGTGTGTGAACTACTTCTTTCATGCCACAGCAACTCAGAATTGGAACAACAAAACCTTTTCCCCGCACAATCCGTCCTTTTGGGCGTCCAACTTTGATGCAGAGGGCCATCCCAAAGACAGCAAACGCTGTGCAGCAAACTGCGACAGCTGATCCAATGTCTGTGCGGTTTTGAAGGCACGACATGGCACGACAGTCACACCAAGCATCCAATGAAGTACAATGAAGTACATCTATCACCATCTATTTTTCTGTTCAATTCTTTTCAGAGGACAACGGTTTTGCCAAGAATCTATATATACATATAGTTATATATATAATTATGTATATATATACATATTATAGATATCATGATATTAGAGATCATTTGCCAGATTGTTGGTGGACGTGTTCAAGCGTGAAGACAGCTGCCAAAGCAACCTTTAGACTCCATGATCCTTGCTGCACATTGTTCAGGGATGCTCAGGGTAATTTTTGATGTTACTGACAAGCATGGTGTGTTGTGTGTCATAGCAGAAGTCCAAGAAGCAAATAAATCCAACCCTGAGTACTAAGGGACCTTCGAACATCTTCAAATGCCCATTCATTTGGAGCAAATTTGTCCAGCAGTTGAAGACATGCTGGGGTTAACTGCACTGACCCTGACAGAATGTCAGCAGTGCGGCGGGGCCACGAGCGCCTAGCGGCCAAAAAGTGCCATTGATTTATGTTCAAAAAGTATCAAAAAGTGGTTTATCATGTCAATTTGGATCTTTCCTCAGCTTCAGTTTGCCTCAGATTGTGCCTTCGCGGATGTCATGATGATTTTTGCTCCAACTTTCATGCAATTGGTTATCGTTGTCCTTGAGCGCGGAGATGTGGCAAGGCAAGTGAAGCACATGGCTCGGATTTGCTCGGGCTGTTTGGGTTCAAACAATCTGTTGAAACCATCACCGTCAGCACTGGTGAGCGTTGGTGCCTGAGTCCTCTCGCTTAGGACGCAGAAGTGCAGCTTACAATACGCTGTCCTTCACGTGATCCACTGACAAAAAGCTGAAACTGTGAATGATGAATCTACAGTCATATTAGTATATATTAGTCATGTGCTTTGCATGCAAGATATGTCGTTCTGAATCTCAGGTAGCGCCCTCGCTGCTCTGCAGCGTGGAAACTTGTTGGATTCTGGAGGACATTCGGCTGGCTTCTAGAAGATCGGGCATCGTGCACGTTTCAACGCGGTAGAGCTATCTAAGCCTCTTACCAGCTTCTTACCTTGATAGAGTGGTGCAAGAAGACCGTGATTTGAACGACTTGCAAATTCAGATAGAGACGGATCCTTTCAAGCTCTGAACTCAACACTGATGAAGGACCTTTAGTAAAGAAAGTCTCACGATCCATGCTGCTTCATTGTTTGAAATCAGCCTGACTTTAAAGGTCTTGAATACGGAAGTATTTGAAGTTTGGGAATCAGCCATGTTCTGCAGGATCAGCATGAGCAGCGTGGGCAACTTCGACTTTCGCGTGACCTGACAGCACCACAATCCATCGGGCTTTGGGCAGATCTCTCCGGGAGGCATATATAGCAAAGTTTGCGTCCACTATTTCTGTCATAATATATCATATCAGAGTATATTAGATGGATGATCTATAATATCATCAACATTCATTGACGAACATATAGCAATTAACTAATGTATAACGATATGTATATACTTATACAGTATACATGTATATATATATATATTATAATATCACAGACACATTTTTTGTTGCTGTGATTCTTCAGTTTTCTTTCCTTGTTGGCATATCCAAGGCCCGTCGCCGTGGGCACAAAGGTCAGTCACGACCTATGGGAGGGACACTTGGCTGTTGGGGGATCTTACCAACAGTTGCCGTAGGTAATGCATACATATACATATACATACATATATATACACACATATATATATACATATATATATATGGGGGTTTCTTAAGATGGGGGATCCCCAAGTCACCATGGGTTTCAATACTAAAATTGTCATCCATGACTTGGATGATTTGCGGGTACCCCCATTTTGGGATACCTCCTACTAATGTATATGTATATGTATATGTATCTGTATATGTATATGTATATGTATATGTATATGTATATGTGTGATTGATTATATATATATACATGTATATGTATAATTAATATATATATGCATATGTGTATATATATATATGCATATGTGATCATATGTGTATATATATATGCGTATGTATGTTGTAATGAGGAAAATGGTGATAAACCGACGGGATTTTATGGGGTACCCAATATTGAGACAGCCTTTTATCACGCGCAATGCTTGATTCCAAGTTGTAGATCAAGGGTTCAGAGCTTTCTTTACAGATCCTATGGGCAAAATCTCGGATCGTGGGATGGTTTGTGACAAGGTATGACTATGAGCCATCGTCATTCCCAACCTCTCCTGCAGCACCTTGGTGACAGGGGGAGGAAGTTTTGAAGATTTTTGAAGGGGTGTATGCCTAAATATGAAGTGGCTGAGCCGTGGACAGGCATATGATCAGTTTTCCTGGCCGCCTCCCGGACTTTCGCCATACTCGTCGTCTTATGACTATGATGCTCGGTTGAATTCAAGCAGGTTTCATCAGATTTGTCAATCTGTCTCAGGGAGTAGCCAAATGTGCAGAATCAGACCTGTTGACAAACAAATTTGCTCTCAAAGGACCATGACCGTTACGAGCGTGAACGCTACGAACATGATCGTTACGAGCGTGAACGCTACGAACATGAACGTTATGAGCGTGAACGCTATGAACGTGAACGCTATGAGCAAGAGCGCTACGAGCGTGACCGCTATGAGCATGATCGCTACTATGACTATGATCGCTATGAGCAGGACCGCTACGAGCACAGTCGAAGTGGGAATGGGCGATATGGACATGAGCGATACGGACATGAACGATGGGACGACCGATATGGACGTGAGCGCTACAACCAGAAGTTACCAGACTACATTGATCCAAGGACTGCTTGCAGGTCGCACAGTGTACATGTACATTATACTTTCTCCCTATTGGGTTCAGAAGACCGGAAGCTTCAACTCTGAAAAGCTTTGAATCGACTGTGCTATCACGTGCTCCCCCAACGCTGCCCCAATGCATCCATTGCCGCAGGATACCCTCAACTCATCCTGACCCGGAGTATTTGGCCTACCTTGACTCGCTGTACACTCCATTGGAAGGCCACGGTGCCACAAATTGAAACGCTGAAGCAGGGATTCTGTGCTGTGGAGATCAAGGTCTGACGACTAAAGGGTTGAGTGTTACATCTAGTTACATCTACTTACTCTACTTCATCACTGAAGCAAGACTGAACTTCAAGACGTTGTCCCAAAGTCTGGAAATTTCATGAAATTTCGCATTTTGTGTCGAGTGACATGATTGCCTCACAGATACATCTGCAGCTCAGTGATAACCATGGCTTTTGTTGATGCAGGCATGCCACAAGCGCCCATTATGCCAGACTTCGATGACTGGCGAGCTGATGATTGGAGGTGGTATTTTGTGAGGATTGTGGCGAGAAGACGTGAACGGGTAGTTATTCGGTTATCCGACAGGAAAGTGAAAGAGAACCTTTTTTTGGAAAATATCAAATCAAGAAAATACACATTGACATGTCATCAGCTCACTACTGCAGCTGCACTAGTTGAATCCTTTGCATAATTCATCTACAACAGATCTTGCGCTCCAGAAATTCAGCCTGGTAGTCGACAATCCACCATTGCTATAGATGTTTGTTTCATTGAAACTGGGCATGTCCGATTGCCACGTCTGTTGGATTGCATCGGCGTAATCCTAACCCCCTATAGAATATTAAACAGCACCTAAATGGCCCAAATATTTATATATCCCCTGGTCAACCATGGTATTAGCCAGGTGGTGTTTAGTATTTGGGGGATGACACTAGCGTTGCTACTTACCATGAAATTTGCCGGCCCTGTCAGTGCCAACCCTCACATCTTCGAGAAGCTTGATGATGCCAACGACGAGTGGAACCGTGCTGATGTTGTTGCAAAGGAGACTTGGAGACCTTTCTGGCAGACTTCAAGATGTCCACAATTTTGGGGTGGTAAGCCATGGCTTTCTCGCTTTGTCCATTGAGCTTCATTTCTCATCCGTTTTCAAAGACCAAGACCATTTGCCAGTGCGCAGGAAGACCACTCTCGTGCCAAATATTTTGGAGATGCACCAGGCTGCAGTGGTCATACCGCACTGACATTTAGAATCTGTGATCGTTTCCGTATTTCGTTTTCCGCTATTCGTTGAACATAGTGAAGACAACCTGGCCAAGTCAGAAACATCACGCTCTGTGTGTAGGGGTTACAAACTTGAGTTCCAATCCTCACCAAAGCAAGAGTTGCGATCATCACTATGATGGAAGCGACACTGGTCGTTGGGGCTGATTCAATGCGTTTGCACTTTCTCCCATTGACAATTGCTAGACGTGCGGTAGCCAACAGCCTGGTTCACACAGAGCTGGGAAAGGCTATTCCTGACTTTGTGGGACTACTGTTGCTTCTGGGATTAAACTAGACACCAGCCTTGGCAACCTCAATACTAGTAGCCCAAGCACATCCAATATTCCCACATCATCCCACATCATCCCACATCAGTATTTGAATTTGGGATGATCCACTCCCAACGCAGGAAGCTCCTGCAGCACCAGCGACACGGATGGCCAGGTGATGGAGATGCCAACAGGGAGATGGGGAAATAAATAGGGACATACATAGGGAAATAAAAAGGGAAATAAATAGGGAACACAATAAGGAAATAAATAGGGGACATAAATAGGGGAAATAAATAGGGAAATAAATACGGAACTAAATGGGAAATAAATAGGGGCATAAATAGGGAAATAAAAAGGGAAATAAATAGGGAACACAATAAGGAAATAAATAGGGGACATAAATAGGGGAAATAAATAGGGAAATAAATAGGGAACACAATAAGGAAATAAATAGGGGACATAAATAGGGGAAATAAATAGGGAAATAAATAGGGAACACAATAAGGAAATAAATAGGGGACATAAATAGGGGAAATAAATAGGGAAATAAATAGGGAACTAAATGGGGAAATAAATAGGGGCATAAATAGGGAAATAAAAAGGGAAATAAATAGGGAACACAATAAGGAAATAAATAGGGGACATAAATAGGGGAAATAAATAGGGAAATAAATAGGGAACACAATAAGGAAATAAATAGGGGACATAAATAGGGGAAATAAATAGGGAAATAAATAGGGAACTAAATGGGGAAATAAATAGGGGCATAAATAGGGACATAAAAAGGGAAATAAATAGGGAAAGAAAAAGGGAAATACATAGGGAAATAAATAGGGAAATAAATAGGGAAATAAATAGGGGAAATAAATAGGGAAATAAATAGGGAAATAAATAGGGACATAAATAGGGAAATAAATAGGGAAATAAATAGGGAAATAAATAGGGAAATAAATAGGGGAAATAAATAGGGAAATAAATAGGGAAATAAATAGGGACATAAATAGGGAAATAAATAGGGACATAAATAGGGAAATAAATAGGGAAATGAATAGGGCAATAAATAGGGACATAAATAGGGAAATAAATAGGGGAAATAAATAGGGAAATAAAAAGGGAAATAAATAGGGAAATAAATAGGGGAAATAAATAGGGCAATAAATAGGGAAATAAATAGGGAAATAAATAGGGGAAAAAAAGGGAAAATAAATAGGGACATAAATAGGGAAATAAATAGGGAAATAAATAGGAAAACAATAGGGAACTAAATAGGGAAATAAATAGGGAAATAAATAGGGAACTAAATAGGGAAATAAATAGGGAAATAAATAGTGAAATAAATAGGGAAATAAATAGGGAAATAAATAGGGAAATAAATAGGGACATAAATAGGGAAATAAATAGGGAAATAAATAGGGAAATAAATAGGGAAATACATAGGGCAATAAATAAGGCAATAAATAGGGAATAAATAGGGAATAAATAGGGAAATAAATAGGGCAATAAATAGGGAAATAAATAGGGAAATAAATAGGGGAAGAAAAGGGAAAATAAATAGGGACATAAATAGGGAAATACATAGGGAAATAAATAGGAAAACAATAGGGAACTAAATAGGGAAATAAATAGGGAAATAAATAGGGAACTAAATAGGGAAATAAATAGGGCAATAAATAGTGAAATAAATAGGGAAATAAATAGGGAAATAAATAGGGAAATAAATAGGGACATAAATAGGGAAATAAATAGGGACATAAATAGGGAAATAAATAGGGAAATACATAGGGCAATAAATAAGGCAATAAATAGGGACATAAATAGGGAAATAAATAGGGAAATAAATAAGGAAATAAATAGGGAAATAAATAGGGAAATAAATAGGGGAAATAAATAGGGAAATAAATAGGGAAATAAATAGGGAAATACATAGGGAAATAAATAGGGAAATAGATAAGGAAATAAAAAGGGAAATACATAGGGAAATAAATAGAGAAATAAATTGGGAAATAAATAGGGACATAAATAGGGGCATAAATAGGGAAATAAATAGGGAAATAAATAGGGAAATAAATAGGGAAATAAGTAGAGAAATAATTAGGGGCATAAATAGGGAAATAAATAGGGAAATAAATAGGGACATAAATAGGGAAATAAATAGGGAAATACATAGGGACATAAATAGGGGAATAAAAAGGGAAATAAATAGGGAAATAAATAGGGAAATAAATAGGGAAAATAAATAGGGAAAAAAAAGGGACATAAATAGGGAAATAAATAGGGAAATAAATAGAGAAATAAATAGGGAAAGAAATAGGGACATAAATAGGGAAATAAATAGGGAAATAAATAGGGGAAGAAAAAGAGAAATAAATAGGGAAATAAATAGGGCAATAAATAGGGACATAAATAGGGAAATAAATAGGGAAATAAATAAGGAAATAAATAGGGAAAGAAATAGGGAAATAAATAGGGGAAATAAATAGGGAAATAAAAAGGGAAATAAATAGGGAAAGAACAAGGGAAATACATAGGGAAATACATAGGGAAATAAATAGGGAAATAAATAGGGAAATAAATAGGGGAAATAAATAGGGAAATAAATAGGGAAATAAATAGGGACATAAATAGGGAAATAAATAGGGAAATAAATAGGGCAATAAATAGGGAAATAAATAAGGAAATAAATAGGGAAAGAAATAGGGAAATAAATAGGGGAAATAAATAGGGAAATAAATAGAGAAATAAATAGGGAAAGAACAAGGGAAATACATAGGGAAATAAATAGGGAAATAAATAGGGGAAGAAAAAGAGAAATAAATAGGGGAAATAAATAGGGCAATAAATAGGGACATAAATAGGGAAATAAATAGGGAAATAAATAAGGAAATAAATAGGGAAAGAAATAGGGAAATAAATAGGGGAAATAAATAGGGAAATAAAAAGGGAAAGAAAAAGGGAAATACATAGGGAAATAAATAGGGAAATAAATAGGGAAATAAATAGGGAAATAAATAGGGGAAATAAATAGGGAAATAAATAGGGAAATAAATAGGGGAAATAAATAGGGACATAAATAGGGGAAATAAATAGGGAAATAAATAGGGAAATAAATAGGGAAATAAATAAGGAAATAAATAGGGAAAGAAATAGGGAAATAAATAGGGGAAATAAATAGGGAAATAAAAAGGGAAATAAATAGGGAAAGAACAAGGGAAATACATAGGGAAAGAAAAAAGGGAAATAAATAGGGAAATAAATAGGGCAATAAATAGGGAAATAAATAGGGAAATAAATAGGGAAATAAATAGGGACATAAATAGGGGAAATAAATAGGGAAATAAATAGGGAAATAAATAGGGAAATAAATAGGGGAAGAAAAGGGAAAATAAATAGGGAAAGAAAAAGGGAAATACATAGGGAAATAAATAGGAAAACAATAGGGAACTAAATAGGGAAATAAATAGGAAAACAATAGGGAACTAAATAGGGAAATAAATAGGGAAATAAATAGGGAAATAAATAGTGAAATAAATAGGGCAATAAATAGGGAAATAAAGAGGGAAATAAATAGGGAAATAAATAGGGAAATAAATAGGGGAAAAACATGGAAATATGGGGGTTTCAGGGCATATATGTTTGTATGTTGCTTGTTATGATTTTGCGTTGGGGTTCAATGTTTCATCCTTGGTTTTGATGATTTTTCAAGTGGGGTTTTGGGGATTATTTCATGCTAACTTTCTCTTCATTATTTGGTTTAAGATGAGAGGGATAATTGTTGAGGTTGATAGGTTTTCACCAACGTCCCTAAAACCAGTTGCCGGCCGTTTTCTGGTCTTCAACCTCATCTTCATTTGTTTTGTCCGGGTGCCCAGAAGGGACTTTGTGGACTTTCACTAGCGAACCACTGTCATGTGGCTGTCCAATTGTGCAAATTGAAACGTGAACCATGCTTTTACATGGAGGTCCGACAGCAATTTCTGTTCCGAAAGTGCCCCCAACTA